CCTCCCGCGGGAGTGTGGCGGGGAGGGGGGGGAGTCGGTCACTGGAGGGAGTTGTAGGACATCTGAACGCGCGGAGCACGTGTTTCCATCGGGCTCATGGCCGCCGCCGCCGTGGGTGGGTGCGGGCTGGGAAGAGCGCTTTGTTCCTCTCGCTTGCCCGGCCGGCACCGAAGTGGAGGCGAGAAGGGATCCCGGCCGCGCCCGGGGCCTGGAGAGACGGCGTGCGCCGAGGGGCAGCGAGTTTGCAGCGGGCGGTGGAGGCGGCAGCGAGTGTCAGTGACGGTATCGCGGTGCATGTGGCAGGTTTGCTTGTCCTGCCACCCCCGCTGTTGCCTTTTTGCTCCATTTCTAACTTGTTCAGAGCGTCTTAGGGAGCGTGTTAGAGAGAGGGGAGGTGAGTCAGTGTCTGTCTGGGTTGTGTAAAACCTGCAGTGAAAGCTGCCCCATCCCCCCTAGGCAGTGGTGTCAGGGCTTTTCTTTGTGTTAGTGCTTCTTTAAAAAAAAATTATCAGGGCGGTGATCTGCAATTTTTATATTTTTTTTCCATTACTTTAAAAGAATAGGGTAGTCTGTTTTATGTATTGTCACTTGAGTTGTTCTACCTGAAGATATGTTTAGCTTAATTTTGATGCTTATTGCATTTGAACAGATATCTGGAAACATGGCTACTGAACATGTTAATGGGAATGGTACTGAAGAGCCCATGGATACTTCTGCTGCAGTTACCCATTCTGAGCATTTCCAGACATTGCTTGATGCTGGTTTACCACAGAAAGTTGCTGAAAAACTAGATGAAATTTACGTTGCAGGTAAGATCTAAGACTTGCAAAACCACATATACAATATTTTATTGGATTCTCCTGTCTTTGGGCTGAAATAGCAACTTTTTGTGGTTTCCAAGTATGGGAACTGCAGTCTTGCTAAAATCTGGATGTTTTAGATTCAGTACTTCAATTTATTGTAGTAACTTTCAGAGGAAATTCCCAGGCTACTTGGACTGAGGGGTGGGAAGCAGTGTGCAGGGGACCAGAGCAACAGCAAGAATGGGCAACAGATGATTTTTAGGAGGAGCAGGTGATGTGCTCTTCGTGCATTTTTTTGTGGTAACTGTAGGCAACTGTAAGAAGCTAAAGCATTGGTATGCATCTTCTTGTGTAAGTGATACTTCCTGACATGGTGTTTGGGCTCAGGGATGCAGAAGTTATGATGTTGATTCTTTCAAGTGTGCTAATAGCTAGCATGTTTTAAGCTTGATTTTTGGATCATGATGGTCATTTCTAGTGCTGCAGTTTATTTGTATTTATAGTCTTCTAAAAGTGTACCAAGGTACCATTGCTAGGCAAGCTAAGTCAGGCTTTGGTAGGTTTTGATAGTTGCCTCTGAATTCAGCTTCAGGATATTGAAATTAAACTTGGCCCGTGTAATATCTGGGTTTCACAGAAGTCAAATGAGCACATAAATGTAGCAATTTTTACTCTGAACCTTGTTTTTCATTAAAGAATTATACCCTTAAATATTTAATTTCAAAGGAACAAAATGATTTTTTAGGCATAGTAACTTACTTCAATCAGTATTTGATTTAGAGGTCACTGAAATGTGTTAGGGATGCTACATTAGGTTTTACAAAGATCACTGACCAAATATGATCAGTAATTTTTTTTCTTTTTTTCTAGGGCTAGTTGCACATAGTGATCTAGATGAAAGAGCTATTGAAGCTTTAAAGGAATTCAATGAAGAGGGTGCACTAGCAGTGCTTCAGCAGTTTAAAGACAGTGATCTCTCACATGTTCAGGTAACGTTAAGCAATTTACAATATAATTGTTGAGGGATAAACTGTTAGTTGTCTGGGAAGAGGTCTGTCTCTTCAGTGATCCATGTGTGATATGTGAAGTGACCACTACTAGTTCAAGGTAAAATGAGCTTCTGGCTTGTCATGTTTTCAGAACTAAAGATTGTATCTTTTGCAGAACAAAAGTGCCTTTTTATGTGGAGTCATGAAGACATACAGGCAGAGGGAAAAACAGGGGACCAAGGTGGCAGATTCTAGCAAAGGACCAGATGAGGCAAAAATTAAGGTATGTTGGTAAAAATAAAAGTTATGAGGTCTACCTGTTGTTTGTTTTTCTGAGTTGTTGTGAGAGTTATATTGGTTGTTTTGGAGCTGTGCTTTTCTTAAAAAGGTTGTTACAAGTTATTTTTCATAATTGTCATTGTTGATAGCTGTCACTTGCAATTTTGTCTTCCACTTCTTTTTCAAGTAGAAAGTTAATATATTAATTTCTGGAACTGAGTGTATAAAACTGAAGAAGATTTCAGTTTGCTCTATGTCTTATTGAGACAATTACTCTATTTCATAGTAAAAAGTTTGTGCATACTTGTTGTCAGCATAGTTACTCGAGTTCAAAATACCTAAGTTCAGCTACTGCTGATTGTTTTTTGTGTTCTTTTTTTTTTTTGTTATTGTTTCTACTCCGCCCCCTTAGTTCGGATTTAGAGCAATTCCACAATAGGGAGGAGATACCACGTGTCTGAAAAAACAGATTGTAATGGATTTAGGATTTAGCCCACTTCTTATGACATAATCACTGTGCTCATAAACTGTACTCCAAACTGTCTTAATGAGGAGTAAATTATTTTTTTGATCATGTCTGCTGCTAGCAAGTCTTGCTTTCTCAAGAGTTAGGCATAGAATGATTTATTTTAAAGTACTGTGATTAGCAACTTACCGAAGCTTAAGGGAAGGAAAACCATCTAAGCATGTTTAGGTGATGTCGTAAAAAAACCCCTGAGAATCTTTCTTCCTTGACGCTTCATGTATATAGTATAAAATGATCATTACAAATAACTGTGTACCCTGTAAAATTAGAGAGTCTTTTTTTTTCTCTTGACTTTGAGGCTGGGATGCTTTTAATTATAATTTTTTTAAAAACTGGTACAGTTTTTGTCAGTGCCACATAAAACAGCAATATTATGAGGACTTGGTTAATAACTTCAAGTAGCATAGCTTCTATTGCTAATGGTTATAGCATTTAAAATAACTGCAATTTTGTAGTTGTAAAATTGCTAACTCTTGACTGTAATTGGGCTGGTTTAATATGCAGTTTCTTTGTGTGTAGAGTTGATTTGTCTTTGTACAAAATTATTTAGAAAGACTTAATTTCAGAGTAGTTTCTCATGTGTTTGCATACTGAATGCCAGCTAACATTTTAAGTTGTTAGTATGTCTGTAACTATATCTAACTATATCTATAACTACATGCAGTGGTTCTAGTGAAGGTTAGTTGTCCTAGGGATCCTGTATAAGTCCACAAGGAATTTGAAGGGGGGGGATGATAAGAGAAAGGAAATAGTACTACCACTTTGATAGCTGGGCACCTGAAGCAGGCTCTGCAGTGTTCCAGGGGTGTAAGCACTTAAACATGTGTTCTTTAACTTCACACTCATGAGTAATCTCATTAAGTGCGGGGAACTCTTGTGCACAAACGTCTGCAGGATTGGACATGCCAAAACAAGAAGTGGCTCAGACTAAGATCTTCCTAATTAAAGGGAAGCTCACTATTATATTACTTCGCTTTTTTAATGAAAATCAAGGGATTCGGAAAACTGGATGTGAATCTCTAATTTTCTAGCAGTGTTTCTTTACCTAATAGTTCTTTTAATTGTTTTGCAAGTTTCTTGTTGAAGTACTAGTAGTAGATTTGTTTGTGGGAGCTTCAAAGCAGTACAGTTTATAAGGAATTAGAAGCATGTCTGTCTGTGAATGAAGTGCAGCTAAACTTGCTCAGTTTGTATGTGGTTTTAAAATTTTAAGTTTCTTACTTGAAGGCACTGTTGGAGAGAACTGGCTACACTCTTGATGTGACTACTGGACAGAGGAAGTATGGTGGGCCTCCTCCAGAGTCTGTATATTCAGGACAACAACCTTCTGTTGGTACAGAGGTAAGAAGAAAATGTTCATGCAGATGTAGACTTACTCATAGGAAATACTTTTTATAAACAGTGCTTTGTATGTCTGTTGTAGATATTTGTGGGCAAGATTCCGAGAGACTTGTTTGAAGATGAACTTGTTCCATTATTTGAGAAAGCTGGACCTATATGGGATCTCCGCTTAATGATGGATCCACTAACTGGTCTAAACAGAGGCTATGCTTTTGTCACTTTTTGTACTAAAGAGGCAGCTCAGGAAGCTGTTAAACTGGTAAGTTTTCTTGGATTTTTTTCTTTTTTTGATGAAGTACACTCTGGCTTAGAAGCTGTTGTTCTCCTGGTCCTAGTGTTTAAATGCATGAGGTGAAACTGTCATGGTTAGATTACTTCATAAGTGTCCACTAGGTGTTAAATTTATTTTCTCATTGCATATAAATGTTTGCTGACTGCATTAGGGACAGGGAAAGAAAAAGCTGATGGACTGCTGTTTGGTCCAGTTAGATGAGTCTTTATTATTAACCAAAGTTGGATTAGCAGTAGTGACTTCTGAGCTGTCTGCATCTGTATGAGTTCTGGAGAGCGGTGATGCTGGAGTTGCTGAGGTACAAGGGCAGTGCTGGTCAGGGTGTCTGTGACTCCTGATGTGTTTCTGCACCAGCAGGGGGCCCATGCTGGAAAAGTGCTTCAAAGTCACAGAATTTTATAAGATACTTCAGATGGGGAAAAAATGTCTCGAGCATTGAAGGTCTTTTCTGTTTGCTGCAGCTGACAGGAAAACATCATAAATCCTGCCTGGCCTAAGGAGCATTCCCTCTGTTTCACACAGAGGTATGAAATAGTTTGATATGGTCTACTCCTAGTAAGCTTTTCAGGTTTTATGATCCTTGCACAGCATCTTTATTTTCCTGGCTAAGTTCAATTTGAATTTCTTGAGCTGGTTACTGCTACACTGATATGGGCAAGATTAGTTGTGGTGTGACTCGCAAGTGCTAACCACACACATTCCGAAGTGTACCAATACTGTATTGCTGTAGTAGGGTTAACATACCTTCTTTTGTAATAAGGCATAGCTTAAACTAGCTTAAAACATCTATTGACATGAAAGTCATTGGTGAAGACAAATCAAGGTGAAAATGGCAATTTGTTTTGAGAAAGCGCACAAATGTCTGAAAAAGTGGAAGTACAAAACCAATTTGGTATATGCTGATCAGCTTTTTAAATAAGAACAGTTGGTTGTTCCAGTGTGCAGTCAGATATACTGGGGATAACATTTTGTGCTTTCATTGTCAACCTAGCAGTGCAGAGTGTGTGTGAACTCTCTAAAACTTAGTGAATCAAATTACCTAAGTTCTCAGGAGCACCTAGTAAGTGAAAAAAACCCAGTTTTTCTTTATTTAGCTGGATTTTGCTTGAAGGCAATATGCTCTGGAAAGTCATTCAAGTCATGTTTCCAGAAAAGTAACTTCAGATCCTAGCTTTAGTATTCCTCTAAGCAATACAAGGGACGGAGCTTATTGGTGTCCCTTTATGTCTATTCTTTGATATGCAGGAAAAAAGCACACTGTGTTCTGCTTGTCAGTTAAATAGCTGCTGAGGGTAATAGCTGAGAAGTGTTGCTGTTGATGGAGCAGTCTTTCAACCTTTATGCTAAACTCCTAGAAAGTAGGGTTAGTCTTAAGTTGGATTCTGTGATATGTGTCAGGTTTTTTTGGAATGATTCCAACCATAGTTGACTGGCTAGTTTGGTATATAAGTTGCCCAAGTTATCTAGAAGTGTTTTGCAGGAGTATTAGCAAACTGTGGCTGTCAAGCTCAGTTGAGAATTGTTGGTCTTTAACTTATATTAATTACACATGCATGGGAGATACTGCTGAATGACCTGTTCAAAACACTGAACACTTGGTCCTAGTCATTTCCATAACCTATTGTTTTAACAGGTGGTGTTCTTTTTAATACTGCCTGTAAATTTCTCATGTGTATATAACTTAGTTCCCAGCTTTCTGGACTCCTTTGGATAATGGTTCTTCTGTTATTTCCCATCTTTTTCCAAGAGGCTTTTGGGGTTTTTTTTCAGGACAATATAGAAAAAATGAGATTAAAAGTCTCTGCATTGCCTATAGGCTTTTGAGGAATAAGAGACAGTTTTTATCAATACCCAAACTACAGTAGAGAATTAACTGACCTGTCTTCAGGCTCTTGGACTTGGTGTAACATATTTTGCATACAGTTCATGTTTGTGTGGCTGCTGTATGTATCTTCCACAGTCTGTAAGACAACTTAATGTAAAGTGGAACTAAAATTTCTGGATACACTTAATGTTGACTTATTTTATTTGTTAACAAGAAGTCTTGCAGTATAAAAGGTTGAAGTCTTGATTTTGTTTATGCATATGCATTTTTAAGTCACTTACAATTAATTACTCTTCATATCTGTAATTCTTTTCAGTATCAGGCTGTAGTATCACTCCATTTCTGTCCTAAGCACAGCCAGAACTATTTTAAATACAGTTTAGGGAATTCTCTCCTTTTTTTTATGACCAGTATTTAGTTCAGTGTGGTTAACCCTTTGCTAGTTAAGTAGAAATGGCATCTCAGAAGTTCACACAAGCATTCGCTACCAAAGTTTGATTTTTTAATCTCAGTCATTTTTTCCTATGTTAACATGTTTACTTTATACTGTTTAGGAATTACAACTCCAGTTGTGTTCCTTTGCACACGCATTCAGTTCTCCCTCCTATTTAAATAAGAAATTGCTAGAGTTAAGTTTTTCTAAAGATTTCTATGTGAATAAGGTTAGTGTAGATATGTAAAGAATGAAAAGTTTTGAGGTGAACCTAGTAGGAAAACAGACTGAAAAGTATTGAAGCATTCAGTATACTTTTGATTAGAACAGGTGTAAGCTTGATCCAGAGTGGAGGTACAGGTGAGTGAAGCAGTTTGCCAACCATGCATAGAGGTACAACTTGCCATTTGCTCCTAATAAACTAAAATTGGTAGTAAAAATCTAAGTCGCTAAAATGACAAGACAGACCTTCTGCATATTTTGACTTGTTAGTGAGTAAGTTCTTACATAAGTCAGTGAGAAAAAAACAAAACTATTACATTGTCTAGAGGGTGGCAATCTCTGCTACTGACTTCAGACGCAGATTCCATGGTGACAGAAGGGGGAAGCAGTATGCTGACATAGCTACTTTGGTAGCCTGACTGTTTTGGCATTCTACCCAGATCATGATCTGAGTCTTTTTATGTCTAATCTGAGTTTGTAGATGGTATGCAAACTATTTACCTAAAAATCACCAACTTGATGGTCAAGAACACCTAAATGAAGACTGTTTTCTCTTTGTAAAGAGAAACACACAGTGAAAAATAGCAGTTAATGCATTGTAGGCTGAAGAAACTACTATAAACTATTAATGGAACTGCAGTGTGGTAGAAAATATTAATTTTACTTGTTAATTTTACTCTCATACAACATCCTGAGTTCCATGAGAGACTCTTCTAGGATTAGATGTGTAGTCAGACTTTGGTGTTAGACTTTAGCAGGAAGAGTTGGAAAATACATTTTATTATCCATATATAATAGAGTATTTATTTCATTTGAAAGGGATCTGCAGCAATCATCTAGTCTGTCTGCCTGACTATTTCATGGCTGACCAAAATTGTTGCTGTCATCTTGATTATCAAGAGCATTTTCCAGATGCCTCTCTCAGACAGTGACAGTTTTAAGACATTGACCACCTCTCTAGGAAGCCTGTTCCAGTGTTTGAGCAGCCTCAGTAAAAAAAGTTTCCTAATGCAAAAAAATGTTTCCTAGTGTACAGTTCAGTTAGTAAAGAATCACTTTCACAGACTAATAAACTGTCAGCTTCTTTAAAGGTGTTTCTTTAGAAGACTTTTTTTACCTACTATAATCTGTCTCTTCATTAATGTATATTAGTTCTGATAGTCTATATACAGTCTTCCTATGCAGCTAGTGCAGCTCCTTCTGCAGTTTCCTACTTTAAAATCGACTGTTCCTCTGTCACATGGGCAACAGATATGGAGATAGATGTCCTTTGTTGTCTCCTGCTATGTTTTGAGATGTAATTCATTGTGAAGATGTCACTCTAGGTCCTTTTCACCAGTACAGTTCTCTGTTTTGATTATTTTTGGTGCTGTTACCTAGCTTAGAAAAGTTTCAGTGGTGGAGCTTTTGTTTGCCCAAGATAAGTATAAATAAATATCTTCTCCCAGATTTTATTCCACAAAAAGAATGATGGGGTGGAGGATAACTACATTATGTAGTAAGATTTTTACCATCAAACACAAAATAAATCATAGAATAAATAGCTAGATGAAATTTTAAAAATCTTTCCTGCTACTTGGCAATAAGATTTTGACCACAAAATTAATTTTCTTAGCTAAAGAAGTGTCTTTTATAGGGCTTCCAGTTAAAAGTGGGTTGATGCACCAGCAGTTGTCCTCCCTGCTTCTTATTTGGATAATGCATGTCTGTGTCTGCATCTCAGTTAAAGGCATTTTTTGATGTTTTCTCAACAGATGTCTACAGTAATGCTTTTTTATTTTTTCCCCCTCTTAAACTGCTGACTTGTTCATGGTGTCTTCCAAACATGATGCGTGTAGTCTTTTAACAGAAGTCTTGGGGTTTCAAGTTATTAGAAAGTTGTTCTTGCTGTTGACTGTCTTTACATGTGTAATGTTTATACTTCAGAAAGTATTTGCCAATTGGCCTTGAAGATTTTGTGGAGAAGATCTGATCATGATCTTTTACTCTTTTGTTAACTGTGGAACTTCAGAAGGGAAGCTCACTTCAGTTGCAACTCATGTCTTGTATTACACACAAATCAAGAATTTGTAGCTACAGCCTATAGAAGAACTTGTATTTTGTTCTGCATGGTTGTGAAGGGAGAAGCCTTGACCTTCATGACTTGCATGATTTTGTACAAAAAAGTCTGTAAAGAAAAAAAAATTGAGGGAGTTGAACAAGGAGGGAGAAATAATTGTTAGCTAAAATAGTGGCGATACCATAGAAAACATGGATATACTTCAGAGTAGTTGAATATGCATTGTAAAAATATGTTAAGCTGCAAAAATTTAATACATTGCTTAATTCTGTGTTTTTCAAAGTCGAATATCTGGTATGCTGCTGTTGAAGGGGAGTGAAAATTATTTGTAACTGATGATTGTCCGATACTTTTTTTCTTGCAGTACAACAACCACGAAATTCGTTCTGGAAAACACATTGGCGTATGCATCTCTGTTGCCAATAATAGGCTTTTTGTTGGCTCTATTCCTAAGAGTAAAACCAAGGAGCAAATTGTTGAAGAATTCAGCAAAGTAACAGGTGAGTTAATAACTAGGTTTTGTAGAGCTGGAAGGTGTTAAATATGATAATCAATGAGTTTTCTTTTGGCTTATAGTTGAGTGATGATGAAAACAAACTCAGACCACTCAGCATTTATCTCAACATCGTGTGTTGGGGTTTGTTTAGGCTTTTTAAAAACTGTTGTTTTACTGAGGGCTGAGATATTTGTAATTAGACTAGGTGGTTGGTTCTACCTGTAGAGCAAGTGTATAATGTTTAAAAAGTCTGTTCAAAGAAATTTGAATTAAAAGTTTAATCATTTCTATACTAATGAATGTTTTGAAACTTCTCAAGGCAAAACTGAAGCAAGCTGAAGAATGTAACTGGTTCTCTGCTTTATAATTCTTAAATTTTAAGGCTCTCTTTGATAATGTTTGAACTTAAAAAGGCACTGTTTGATGACTTTTCTCTGTTACTGAGTTACAGACTTCAGGTTTTTTGGAGAATAAACTTTTTAGGTATTGAAGTCATGCAACTTTTATCTCTTGTTGTTTCAACATTATGGAAAAAACACACACTGATAACTGTAACTTAGGGCTTTAAGAGGAGAAGTGACAAAGCAGAACCTGACTGCCCCTAACTTTCTTCCATTCAGTTAGGGAAAGGGTATTCTTCCATAGTTACAAAGACTACCCATACTTTATAATGCAAATCAATTGATTGAAACCATAACAAATGTTTTATTTCATTTCAGAGGGTCTTACAGATGTCATATTGTATCATCAGCCTGATGACAAGAAAAAGAATCGGGGTTTCTGCTTTCTTGAATATGAAGATCACAAAACTGCTGCTCAGGCCAGACGTAGGTTAATGAGTGGCAAAGTGAAAGTCTGGGGAAATGTTGTCACAGTGGAATGGGCTGACCCTATAGAAGACCCAGATCCTGAAGTCATGGCAAAGGTAATAAAGCTGTAATGGGACCATAGTACATTTAAAGTGCTCTGTTCCAAATTAGGTACTTCCTGGCATTAGCCTAAAATCACATCTTTTGGCCTTCTTGACAGAGATGTTGTAGATATGATGATAAAAAATGAATATACCTCAGAAATTACATGGATTTAAACACTCTATATGGCCTTACATTATTTTGTGTTCTCAAGGCTACATAGTGAATGTAATTCTTTCCAAAACGACACACAGGATGACGTAGTTAATTTTTTTACCTCAAAGTGATGGTGGTGACTCCTAGAGTTAAAATGGTTTTATACTCTAGTATTTAGAAGGACAGAAATAGAGATATCATCGCAGAACAAGCCTTAATTCTTTTTAAACCTGGAACTGTATCACTTCAACAATAGAACATGTCTGTTCAAATGTACACAAATGTATTTTGCCATTAACAAAAGTTGCCATTAGCAGTTGCTTCTGAAAAGTTAGACAATTAGCTTGGATTTGGAACTCGGCAGTTACTTTTTATTTGGGGGAGTTAATACCTTTTTATACCTAGACTGGCAATATTTTGGACTTTGAATATTGAGCTGAAGCTGAAGTCTGGACTGTTAACATTTTGAAGTACATTGTAGCAGTTGTTTTATATATGTGCGTGGTATCTTGCTAGAAACAAACTACCTAATTTTTTTTTTCCCCATCAGATATTGCCCAACTCTGTCTTTTTCAGTTGTGTTGTGTAGCTGAGTTGTTTAATGGAAACTCCTAGCTAGCCCATATCCTTATCTCTTTCTCTTTGCTTGCTTTTCGTCTGTGCTTTTACTCTCATCTGAGACACGTCACTTGCTGGAGTCCTACTTTGATGGACCTAGTAAGATAGCTTGGCTGGGATCTCCTCTTTGGTGAGCCATAAGGGAAAAGGGTTGGGGTGGGGGCTCATTTTAGGGAAAAAGCTGCTTTTGTAATACAGGTATTACAGAAGCTTTTGGACTATTTTGTCTGCAGACTTTATTTTTCTTGCCCAGCATGATAGACTGTCAACAGCAGGAAAAGAGTCTTGCAGGTCGAATCTGTGGAAGGTGGCACTTCCTAAATATGGCAGCCTGTATGTTTAGTTTCTTGGCTCAAAAGAGAAGAGTCCTAATCCACCGAACTGTCAAAATAAGCAGGAATTTCTGCTGATAGAACAAAATAGATGAAAAGGATGTGATAGGGGACATAATCAAGCATCTCTCCTGAGTTTACAGATGTACAGAATGAAAGACTAAAGAAATTAAAGCTTGATTTTGGTTTGCTCCCTTTAGTATACAGTTTTTTTAGATGTGTTAATACCATTTATTATTTTGTATTTGAAATGGGACATGGAAAGAGAAGAAACATGGAGATGACGGAAAGAAGTGTAGAAAACACAGAGAAAATCAACTTGGATACATCTAGTGCCGCACGCTAAAGATAGGACATGGAGCTTGGGTTGAAGATGTATGGAAAAATGAGGCTCTGCAAATAAGAATACTGAAAAAGTGGCTTGTGTCTGAAGACACAAGCTGAGACAATCATTGCTGTCTGACCTTCCTCACTGACTGTGTCCCTTAGTTTGTTCTTGCAACAAGGGAAGTCTCCAGTTTTTCTTGGCCAACTGCTGTACCTTTGCAGAGGCTGACTGTGTCTGGCCCTTCTCTAAGTATAAAGTTTACTTACTTTTCTTTCTATCTCCTAAGAGAGAGCAGCAGAGCTGCTGCTGCAGTCAGTAATCTCCTGGATGTGAGCTGCAGGTTGGCTGTCATTGCTTCTGACTGCTGTCAGTCCAGAGCAAAGGGAAAGCTATCGACCAGTGTCATCTTGCACATTGCTATGGTAGAAGGCTATGGAGGAAACTGTGACTAGGAGAAGTAGGTCGTTTTCATCAAAATAATCATGTGGTCATCAGTTTTCTTGTCAAGACTGCTAGAAGAGCAAGCCCATAAGAGCAAGCTGTAAGGAAGACACATTCACCTATGTAGCCAGAAGGTGAACAGTGTTTTAAATCTTTCAGAAGAGGCATGTCATTTCATCAATATATGGACACCTACTAATTTAAATTTCTGAAATGTCTACTTGAGTCTTTTTTCCTTCGTCCTTCTGATAAAATGTTGTGGAGAGTACTGTATGGGTAAATATTAATCATTTAAATGGATGGTTACCTTAAATACAAAGTAGCTTGAGCACAATGAGGGATGAAGCTAAGATTCTTGAGTTAGCTGGATGTGCTACAGGAGATTAATGCTTGTGCTAACAGATCAGAGTATAACTGGTTAAGGTATTGACTTTTAGTCCAAATGAACTTTTTTCCAGCTTCACAAGCAGCTGTGTTGATAGTTTTAATTTCTCTTAAGTGTCATTTTGTTGCCTCTTACACCTGTAGTCTAGCTAAATTTGTTAATGTTTTACTTGATTTCTGTAGGATGGCTGAGGCTGCAGAGGACGTTCTGGAGTGGCAGGTTAAGCAGCTAAATAAAGTCTTATGCTTGTGGCTGTCTGGCAGATTACAGGACAAGAGACAGGGCTAGTAACCCTTGGAGAATGTGGCCTGAAGTGTTTGTTCTGTAGGTAAGAGGAGGAAAAGGAGCAGATACCAGAAGTTTTGGGATAGTCTGATCTTAAGCAGATTTTTAAATGTGAGTTCTGCCTTTAAAGCAAAATGCTGGTGTTGGGTATATTGCTTGTTAGGAGTATTTGTGGATTCTTGGTGTAATGTGTGAGCTTTAATGAAGAGAATTTTTTTTTTCCTTTTTAGCTGGCTTCAGTGAAGTAAAAATGGGTTCATCTTCTTTCAACCTATGCTTTGACCTGCCTAATAGCTTTTACATCATCTTTGACTCATTTAGTTACACTTCTAATCCGTAATATGAATAAAGGTTTTAAAAATTTTTAGCTGTTAGAGATTAGCAGATTTGTCTACACTACGAAGATTTAAATCAGTTACTTTGTATTTCTTTAAAAACCATAATATTACATTATGTTTTTATAATATGTTATAATATTAGATTAGCATATTTTTAAAAACAGTAATTATTCCGTGTAGTTTTTAATCATCGTGTCAGTCATCATTAGGGTACTTAGGGTTCCTTGTGACGTTCTAGTTTTCATCCTTTTCTAAAGCATATAGAGAATTTGTTTAAAAGTTAGTGGTTTTCAAAGTCATTGATTAAATCACAAAACTTAATGTAATTAATAATTTCCATGGAATAAGGTTAAGGCAGCAGTTAGGATGCTTTACTAAAAAAGGTTATTATGTATGGGTTACAATAAATAAAGGTTGCTCTTACCATCAAGGCATGTAGGAGAAGCTTAATACATAATTGGAAACAGCTTTTCTCATGGAGTTGGCTATGACTTCTATGATCTCCTGAGAATCAGCAGGAGTAACTATTGCCAAAGCCTAGAATTGATCCACTGGGTTAAATTTATGGTCTGTAAGTATCCCGTCTTCCAAATTCTGCATCCTATCCTAGTTCAGCTAGTGAATGAGACAGATTTATGGAAGTCTGTCCTGGGTTTTTTTTATAACTTAATTACATAGCAGTTCTTCCAAAAATGGTGTCTGGGTTTATTGAATTCCTGTATGTGGTGGGAGTAGAGTACAGCTCTGCTTCAGAAATTGAAGCATGCTTTCCTTGGTCCTTTCACACCTTGTGTTATTGGTGTTGACCTTCAGGGTCAGGAGTCAGTGCTGCCATGTGCAGTGTTTGTTTGATGTCATCAGCTAATTTGAAACCAGTAGGAGCAGTGGGAATGTAAGCAGAAGTTGCAGGTCTTGCAGCTGATTGGCAGCTGCACTGTAGGCAGGTAACACTGAGCATTCCTTGGCAGTAGGAGGTGGTTAAACTGTCAGAGCATGGTGCCAGCATGTCGAAGGAATTCATCTCAAGAAGTTGAAGAGTGTTGTAAATTGTGAGGACACATAGATGACACCGTGTAAACACGCTCATGTCCAGTCATTGTGTGCAGCCTTGGCATGGACACAAGGATGAATCTTTCAATACTGTCGGGTCACTAATAGGTGATTCCTGCTTTCCACTATATGTTGTCTGCTATGTTAAGTGAGGGTTTAGTTTAAGCCTTTGTCGGACTGCTCTAGATTTTCCTTTATCCTATGCAGTTGGTTATTGATGGAGTTTTATATTGATGATGTAGTCCATGTCAGGCAGTCAACAGTTGGATGATTACCTGCCTTTCTGATTTTAGAAGCTGCGGAACAGTCTTTGTGTAGCTTAAGAGTTATGTTTCATGCTTTTAGTGAGCTGGGGGAGGGAGTAAACTTCCGGAGTTATTTGGGGGTGACTTCCTCTAGGGAACAGCGCAGTTTGACTTTTGAGAAAGTTGAAAGGTGACTGGCCAGTGTTAGCCTTAGTGTCCCCTCTGTCTGCAGTTCTGTCTTTCAGAAGTGGCTTCAGGTCACTGAGTGCCCCTCAGGCAATCACAGTCCTGACATTAGGTGTTTGCTGCAGCTATAGCATGGGAACCACAAGTTAAGCAGCTTGAAAGCTGCAGGCCTGTCACCTCTGACCTAGATATTACAGTGATGACTGTTCCGCAAATAACTGAGTAAAAGCCTGTCTAAACAATTACATGTTTTGATAACTTAATTGATTTGTGTGTAACCAATTCTGGTTGCCTTCTCTCAAGTTTCATTGTATTCTGGGTTGGAGATAACTGCTGCTAGGATCACACTAACATGAATTGAATTGACTTTCAGGATACTAATACTTATATAATCATGTTTGATAACAGATTGAATATTTCTGTCAGGGAATTTTGGAGCTAACTCATGCTGTGTGACTATTTAAATGTACATATTCATATATATGTATATAAAATGCTGTACAGAAAATGTAACAATGTTTTTTCAGTACTGCCAATAGCAGTAACTTGCAAAGCTTCATTTTATGCTTTGAAATGAGATCATACTCCTAAGTCCTTTTTTTTTTTTTCTTTGTTTTTGTTTTGTGTTTTTTTTGTTTGTTTTTGTGTTTGTTTGGGTTTTTTTTAATTCCCTTAGGTAAAAGTTTTGTTTGTACGCAATCTTGCCAATACGGTAACAGAGGAGATTCTAGAAAAAGCCTTCAGTCAATTTGGAAAGCTAGAACGAGTGAAGAAGCTAAAAGACTATGCTTTCATTCATTTTGATGAACGGGATGGTGCTGTAAAGGTAAGTGAAGAGGACTGTAACTGCGTGCATGTGTGTTGCAAGTAGTGTTGTTAGAAGCTGTATGCTTCTTCTAACTTGAGAAGAAGCTTTGTCTGGCGAAGTGGTAACACATTGTCACAGGTAATTTTGTCCTCTCTGGGTGTCATAGGATGATGCAATTCTAGCTTGAAAAGTGGATCTTAAATGCACCTATCCTAAGTAATTCTGCATATGAGCTCTTAAAATAATAATGTTGTTACCATTTGAAGCTCAAGTGTCAGAAATTGAACGACTCTTCTCACCGAATTATTGGTAGAAGTTAAAAGCAGTTTCTTTACATATGGCAGGTGATAAAAACTTAGGTAGTATTTTTATTTACTTTTTCAGGAATAAACTTTTTTTTTTTAATGAGGGGTGCTAGACAATTTATTAATTGTCATTCCTGGATTTTGCTAACACAGTCTTCATGTCATGTGTTGTTAAAGAAGGGAAAGTGTAATTCCCCTCTTTCCTGTAGTGTATCCATTTTTTTTATGTTCTGTGGGTGGATGCAGGATACAGGGGGATTCAGTTTTTCTTAGGTATCCATATGTCTTAAAGCAGATGCTTAGGAAGATGATGGGAAGAGTCTAAGTAAGAAAAATATCCTGGCAGGGCATAACTATGTAGAGTTCCTAAAACAGGTAGAATCTTTAGGATTCCTCTGCTCAAAATTAACTTAGGATAAAAACTGTGGCCCATAGGAATTGCACATGGCAGGGAGGGTAGGGGAGGAGTTGATGGTTTGCTGTTTGTTTTGCATTTGTTTTTTGAGGAGAAAGGTTGTGGGAGGTTGGTGGTGTGGATCTGGGAAGGAATTGCGGTTTTTTGTGTTTGGTTTGTTTGTTTTTTCCTTGTGATCAGAATGACTTAATTTTTGCCTCCTAGTTGGTATTTATTACAAGTAGAATAAAGGAATAGCAGAATATACTGAGCTCTAACTTTAGTACTGTTTGCATGTGTACTGACATTAGGAATTTATTCATGCATTACAAAATGTGCACTTTCAGAGGACAGTTCTGTCACTTCATTAATTGTAACAGCTTGCAAAGATTGAAACATGTTTCCAGTTCTGAGGGGAAGATTCCTAAACTGATACATGAAGTCCTGGGTTTGAGAGCCAAGTTCAGAAGAAGTGCGTAATTGGAATCCGTAATACTATGCTCTCTGATTGTTAAATTTTTTTTTTTAGCTTTATATTGTTATTTTAGCTCTGAATAGCAAATATAAAAATGCATACTCTAAATAAAAGGTAGAACAAAATTAATAACTTCAGATATGCTTGGAAGTATATTTAAAGTCTGGTTAATTCCTTCAGGCGATGGAAGAAATGAATGGCAAAGATTTAGAGGGAGAAAACATTGAAATTGTTTTTGCTAAGCCACCAGATCAAAAAAGAAAAGAACGGAAAGCTCAGAGACAAGCGGCTAAAAATCAGATGTAAGTGTAAATGCATGTAGTTATGTTGTATTACTTCTGAAAGACATGTACAATCCTATCAAATTAGAACATCTGGATATTTTAGTAGATACGTTATAGCGTATGCAGGTTTTCTGGCTTCTCTCAAAAATGTTGGATTCATTTTTGTTTGCACAAAAAGTCTAATAGTGGTTTTTAGTGATAATTTAAGTACTGTCTTGCTCTGCTTATTGAGTGTGAGAGCACTGGAGGAACTGATGGTCATGAAAAATACATACTTCTCACCTTCTATTCTAAATTTCCCTGTACTTCTGCAGTGACATCACGTGGAAGAGCTCATTGTGTGTTCCTCTCAGCAGGCTTAATAGTTTAATACAGCACCCCCTCTTTAGTAAAGTACCCACTGAAAGGAGGATCCTGATACTCTTTCTTGCCGCTTCCAGAAGATACATCTGCCCATGAAGCTTATGAACTCGTCATACTGATAGAGATCTTGCACTAGTAAATGCTGAATATTGTTAAAAACAACAACAAAAAAGGGCAGTTTCTTGCTGGTGTGTTCTGCTTAATGTTCTCATGTGTTTTTCTTCTTGGATATCTTCCTGCTTTCTTAACCACATTCCCTCCCCCACCTTACTTCCAAAAATAACTTGGAAGTGCTGTTGTGCAGCATCCAAGAAGATGGAATAGTGAGCTT